GGGGGCTGGGAGCCACCTGGTGTAGTGGAAGGTGTGCCTGCCCATGGCAGGAGGGTTTGGATGAGATGATGTTTGACGTTCCTTCCAACCCAAGCCAGTCTGTGATTCTATGACACTGTGCCCTCACTCCACACTGTGTCATAGGTGTCTTGTGCCATTGGTGACATACCCTTGTGCTGCTGCTGTAGGTGTGTTGGGTCACATCTTGGACTGGCACCAACTTCCAGGAGCTTCCTGACCTGGCAGCAGATCTGCAGAGCTATGGTTGCTCTCTCACCACAGAACTGTCTATCTGACTTTTCTTTTCTCTTCTTAGAAATATCCTCGATTCAGACAACTACAGTCCCATCCCAGTAACAAATGAAGATGTGTATAAGAAAATAGTTGGACAGTTCCCATTCCAGGATGCAGAACTTGAAAAGGTAAATCTTGGAATGGTGAGAGTAGCTTGGCCTGGCTGCTGGTGTGGGAGAACCCCAAGCCCTTGTTAGTGGTAGTGAGAACTGCAGTGAAAGCATCAAAAAAAACCTAAATCCAAACCCCCAAACCAAATAAACAACAAAAAGAAAGCAAAACAAGGGAAAAGACCCAATATACTTTCCATGTGGTATATTTCTGCTGATTTGGGTGAGGAAAGTGCAGATGGCAATACCTCATTGATTTTGTTTTCACATCAAGGTGTACTATCACAGCTGAACTGTCCTTGCAAGGCACAAGAAATATCTCCTTCCATTGCCCCTTTGTTCCCATTTTTTTGAACCATGCTATTGGCTTTTGTTTGTTTCAATCTCATATTTAAAGAAAAAGAGCCCAACAAAGTGCTGTGACTTGGCTTCCGCACTAGTGTGTGCTTGCAAAACCTAAGCATATCCAAATTTGACATGAGCAGTGCCCCCTAAATCCTGCTTGGTGCCAACAAGCTCCAACCCTGGTGAACTTCATTAGGGCTGGGAAGGTTTTTGATCCAGATCACGTGTTTAGATTTCAGAAAGTGTGTGTCCTTTCCCCCAAAATGAAACCATGTGATTCAGCTTCTGACTATTACACTCTGCACCTCAGCCATGCATGTGCTATGGGGAAAAGCTGGTTGGAAAAATTGGTGTAGGACATCTGTTTTCTCTTGGCTTTTGGTGTTGGAAGCAAGTGCTCACCTTGGGCAGTAACTGTGGGAGGGTGACCAAGAAAAACACCTCATGTATGGTGTGAGAAGTCCAGGTGTTCCCCAATGAGGTTTTTCATGTGAGGGGGGGAGTTGGGAGAGGGAATGAAGGTCCTGTTTGCCACCTGCTCCCTCCTAGCTGCAGATTTCCTTCCAGCCTGTTTCAGACTCCAAATCCCTTCTGCAGTTATGTGCCATTTGTAAGTGATTATCTGGTCTTTCACTTGGCTGAAATGTTTATATAATATACCATAAATGCTGCTGTTGTCTCCTTGCCGGACTTTGCTAAATCCTAGAATTCCTCTGACTGCTTGGAAAATGTTGCTGGAAAGCAGTTGTCACTCCTGGTAAATACCTGCTCTGCCACTGGAATTCTCTCCTGTATTTTACAGCAACCATTCCCAAAGAAGTTTCCCTTCTCTGAGTTTGTGCCTAAAGTTTACAATCAGATTAAGGAATTCATCTATGCCTGCCTGAAGTTTTCCGAAGACCTTCACCTGAGGTAGGATCTGTGTGGGATAATGGAGGTTTGTCTGCACTTGAAAGAGCTTTAAAATAGGAATTATCTTCCTCAACCTTTTCTGCTGCTCAATTTTTGGATAAGCCCTGTCCAGGCTGGAGGTGGCTGGTGGTGTCCTTGGAGTGGAGACATATTCCATGCACCAAGGGTTGGCCAAGTCTTCAAAAGTAGCCACCTCATTGGGAAGATCACAGAATGGTTTGGGTTGGAAGGGACCTTGGAGACCACTCCCCTGCCATGGGCAGGGACACCTTCCACTAAACCGGGTTGCTCTAACAGATTGCCCAGGGAAGTTGTGGGTGCCCCAACACTGGCAGTGTTC